ATCAGGTGAACTGTTACTGCTCGCTTGTTATCCTTGTCCTATAAAAAAATAGTGGTGGCAGTAGCCACGAGCTCTTTACTATCAAGGCGACTGTAAGTTTGAATATCACGTCAATTTTATAAGAAGACTATAAAATGGGTGCCATATGCAAACAGTATTTAAATAGAAAATCGGGCAGAGGCTGGGTTGTGGTCAATGAATGCCAAGAAGAGGTCATCATCTAGACACCAATCATACCGCATGATGAGTAAGTGTCCTTTAAATCTTGTGACAAATACAAAAAAAGAAACATGGCAGTGATCTAATATCACACAAGTCTTGTAATTTAATGGCGTTGTTTAATTGAATCTTCTAGTCGTGTGAGTCACACAACCATCATTTTATCGTTTAAATTTTAACCTGAAAAAATTGTGACTACTCTCGTGAGTAATATTCTGGATCACTAATATTATGGTTTCGAACAGGCCAGCTCATAGATATTCGTTCGTTTTTTTTTATGTGAAGGTTCTCCTGCGGTTGCGCGAAATTGTTTTGTATCATGTTACGACTTTATTGTATAAGCGTCCTGGATTATTAAATTTATCACAGTTTATCACTCATCGCCATAATTGTGATTATTACGCAACACGGAAAATTTCTTTTGACATGGTCCTTGTAATGACCATGCCATAAGAAATTAAACACTCTTTATTCCATTGAGTTACATGTACTACGTACTAGAGAAGTCATTCCAAACAAAAATTGTGTCCTACTCTATGTCTTCGCGCATGCGCGGGAGTAGTAGTCGCGCATGCGCGAAGACTTTAATTTAATATAAAATAAGATATTAATATAAAATAAATATAAGAATTTAATATAAAATATCTTAATTCAATCTAAACAAACATGTAATATAATGTAATAATAATAATGTAATAATAATGTGTAATAATAAACATCTAAATAAAATGTAATAATAATTATTTTATGGAATTCACAAATCTTCAATTTACGCAATATTTAGTTTGTATGGATTGCACTACAGTTCAGTTGAACATAGTCAATGTTCGGAATGGCTTCTCTAGTACGTAGTACATATAACTCAATGCTTTATTCATATTGTATAATTAGCTGTGCCCGCGACTACGTTCTTTAATATTTGTTTTTTACTTTGGGCCTAATTGATTATATTTTATAAACCACACTACTATTACAACTTAAACGGTAATAATATAGACATACGAGTATATTATAAGGAGGAATTTTATCATCATCATCATCATTACAGCCTTTCATAAGTCCACTGCTGAACGTAGGCCTCCCCCAAGGAATGCCATAAAGCACGGTCCAGAGCCACCTGCATCCATCGACTTCCTGCATGGCATTACCAGGTCGTCATTCCATCTCATGGGGGGTCGCCCTACACTTTCCCTACCGGTACGAGGCTGCCACTCAAGAACCTTTCTTCCCCATCGGTTGTCGGTTCTTCGAGCTATATGGCCGGCCCACTGCCACTTCAACTTACTAATCCGTTGGGCTATGTCGGTCACTCTGGTTCTACTGCGGATATCCTAATTCCTAAGTTTATCACGCAGAGAAACTCCGAGCATTGCCCTCTCCATAGCTCGCTGAGCGACCTTGAGCTTCCTCATACGGCCAGCTGTGAAGGACCACTCAGATCCGTAAGTTATCACTGGCAACACGCACTGGTTGTACAATTTCGTTTTAAGGTTTTGAGGTATGTCTGACGAGAAGATGTGTCGTAGCTTCCCGAACGCTGCCCAGCCGAGTTGAATCCGTCGATTGACCTCTCGGTCGAAGTTCGACTTACCTAGTCGGACTATTTGTCCCAGGTAAACATACTCGTCAACAACTTCGAGCTTAGTGCTCCCAACAACTATCGGCATAGGTGTGACATGGACATTAAACATGATCTTTGTTTTGTCCAAGTTCATCCTAAGACCTATTCGTTGGGAGACACTATTTAGGAGGAATTTTATAATATACCGTAATCTGAACACCGGTCAAGTGCATGGATGACTTAAACACCGACGGTGCCGTATTCGTTTAATAAAATGAAGCTAAATAATGTAGATATGTATTAGGTATACCTTTGAAATTGTCGTTTTTATAAAATAAGTAAACGTAATTTTTTTTCTATATTTTTTATTTCTATTAATCAAAGTAATCACCCATGCAATCAATGCATCTTTGCCAATGCAATGGCAGTTTATTGATGCCCTTCTTGAATAAAACAGCTGTTCCATCCAGGCAACAAATTCTTCAAAGGCATTTTGTACTGCATCTTGGGTATTGAATTTTTTGCCGCCAAAGTTATCCAAATTTTTGAAAAAGTAGAAGTCTGTAGGCGCAAGATCTGATTAGTATGGCGGATCACGGAGAGCTTCCAACCCCAGTTATTGCAACTTGGAAACCGCCTGGTGTGCAAATTGAGGTCGCGCCTTGTCATGCTGGAGCAGCGGCGATGACCGATTGACCAAATTTGGTTGGAGATGTGAGAGCTTCTCCATCATTGTGTTCAGTTTTTCACAGTACAGATCTGCAGTAATGCTCATCCCGTTTGGTAAGAAGCTGCGATGAATTACACTGGCACTAGACTACCAAACAGTGACCATCACTTTTCTAGGGGTAAGTTTTCGTTTACAGCATTGATTAGGTGCTCAACCAGGATCAAACAAAATCCATTTTTGTCGCATATAACAATGCGGTTCAAAATTCCTTCGCTTGTGTGCCTGTTGCGCAATCAAGGCGCGCCTCGACGTAAACCTATTTTACCTTGCCAATTTGACGCAAATGGACCAACATTGTTTTTATGCTAACATCGAAAACTGCTGCTAGTTCAGCCGTAGACTGAGTATGATCAGATTCCAGAATTACCTTTAATTCGTCGTTGTCGACCAAAGTTTTCGGACGAACACGGGTTTCATTTTTCAGGTCGACATTTCCAGAACGGAAGAGAGCAAACCAATACAGGTGGTGCATTTGTTTGTAGCATTCGCTCTGTAAACGTCGTTGATGTTGCGTGCTGCTTGTGCCGCGTTTCTGAACTTTAAAAAAAGATCTTACTACTTTCTAAAAGGCCGGCAATGCACCCGCAATTCCCTTGGTGTTGCAGTTGTTCATGGGCAGCATTAGCCACTTACCATCAGGCGAGCCGCATGCTCGTTTGCCCCCTCTCCTATAAACAATAGCTTATTAATCGCTAAATTAAAAAAAGTAACTGCTGGTAACAATGGAGCTTAGTCGATGATTTAATATGACTATAAAAATTATTTAAAATCCCAAGAATGTTTTGTAATTTTGCTCCTACGTTTGGTCAATGTTTGTTTGAGGGCAATAATTTTAAATTTTGCAGATTTCAAGAGGACGAGAAAGCTGTGAAGATGAAACGTGAAACGATGAAAGCGATTGCCGAACGTGACGAAAAGGGATCGCACTCAGCATTTGGCGTGGCGAACCACAGCGGCCGTTTACTTTTTTAACATATTACTGGTATGTTGAACTTGAGCAATAATCGAGTATTGTATCAGTTACAATACAAACTCACGTTCACGATCTACTGTCTCTCCGTAAGTATTGTTCGTGATATATGCCGCACAAACTTACCGATGAGCAGAAAAACCGTCGGGTTACCAATTTTTACGATATACTGACTAGCGATGATACATGGCACAGCTATACAGCTGTAGTAGCGGAATGTTGGAATGTAGTGTAAAAAGAAATGCAAAGGTGTGGAGGCAAGATAGTGTTTTGGGTTTCGCTTGTATACTTCTTAAATAGGACGTATTTAAGAAGTAACAGTGTATGCGTGAAATAAAGTAGTATGGTAAAAAAAAAGCTTCTATTAAATAAATATTTTACATTACTGGATATTTTTTTAAATAAAAGCTTTTTTAAACTAAACTACTCCATTTCACACTTACATCCTTCCCCGAGCCGACCTCAATCAAGAGAGAGCGAAAGCACCAAACAAGGCGAACTTCAAATGTATGGTGATTTAAAGATTTTTTTTTTATAGGATCGAGTGACAAACGAGCACACAGTCCACCTGATGGTAAGTGGTTACTGTGACCCATAGACATCTACATCTATCCTCAATAAAGACTCAAGATGCAGATGCGTTGTCACCCGTGAGGACTAAGATGGAATGCCTCTTTGCCAGTAAAAAGGGTCTCCGGTTCTCTACACTCACCATACGAAACACAGCAGCGTTAAGCTGCTATTTTACGCTGGTTTTCTGTGAGAGCGTGGTCCTTCCCCGGTCGAGCCGACCCATTCGTGCTACAACCATAATATAGCTGCAGCATGGCTCTACCACGTATAGCGTGGTCCTTCCCCGGTCGAGCCGACCCATTCGTGCTACAACCATAATATAGCTGCAGCATGGCTCTACCACGTATAAATGAGCCAACTCCAACGAAAAGTTGCCAAGTGCAAAGTAGATCGTAACAAATGCCCTCCATCTTTTTCTATAAGAGAGCCTCTCACATTACTGTAGCAATATTATGTCCATACTATTGTGATGTTAGAGGATCAAATTAAAAAGTGTTTAGTGCTCAAGGTTAAAATTTTAAAAATATCGATAATGAAGTAACAAATGAATATTATAGTTTTTGAAAATCTAGTTTCTTTTTGCATTTCCCACATAACTTATAACTACAAGTGAATTATTAAAAAAAAAACACCCGACGTAAATTAAATTAAAAAAAACTAAGCACCAATTTAATATATGATGTCAAATATTATGCTAATTATTATCTTTCATCTGGTAACATAACGACGCATTTACATAACGTTGTTTTAAAGGCTTCAAAGTTTTGACACTTATTTTTATGATTTGACAAAATCCAACCAAGATATTGTGGCGTAATTTTAGATCTATGAAATTCGACGAGGAATTCAGGGGTTTCATACATACCAAAAAAAAAACCCCTTTTATGATACGCCAAATCGGGTAGTAAAGCTAATTATAACAGTAAAAGACAATAGAAAATTTAAATTCAAGAAACACAGATAAAATTTTCAAACCTGCTTTTATGTGGAGTCTCTAGCTGCAGAAACACGGACTTAGTGACTAGTACCCGCTCGGCTTGGAACGACATGACGGTTTCGCCTATATCGAGGTTTGTTCGAACCTGTTGGAAAAAATACAACAATTACAAGAATATATTAACAGAATCTTCTGATTTTCAAAGACATTAGCGTGACAAGCGAGATATCAGTCCACGTTATGGTAAATGGAAATTACAGACCGTGAAAATCTGCATCCAATTAGAACTAAAAAAGGAAACAGATGCTTGGTCACCTCTGAGGACTGAGATTGCAGGCCCCACACTCTGGAGTTGTATTGGCTCTACATATCCTTTTAATTTGAATACAAAAATGAAAACACTCCTGTTTTACAGAAAGGAATGGCTTCTTTCCGTCTACGGCTGTCACATCTTATTTATAAACTGCTATTTGTCCTGTCAAACGGCCTATTCGTGCTACAACCATAATAAAGCTGAAGCACGGCTCTATCACGTATAAACTCATCTACTTTATAATATTATATCTAACGCGTGGTGGCAGTGTATTAGAAGACAATTGGAAATGCCAGAAATATCTTATTGCTTTCGATAGATGGCAGTGTAACCAACTCTTGACGCCAGGCGTAAAATCTCAGACCGGCTACAGGAAGCAGCGGCAAAGGAGCTAGACGCCACGTATTGTGATCTTCAATCCACTTTGGGGATGACGATTCAGGTAAATCCTGCCTACAAAGAGAGAGACCCATGTCAAGCAGTGGACTTCTATAGGTTGATGATGAAAAAGAAGAAGAAGGCAATTTGCGAAGAGTGGTATAGATAATACTCCTGCATAGTCTATACCACTCTTCGCAAATATAGGGTACGCAATATCGCGAGGCATTCCACCTAACCTACCCATGTTTGATGAACGCTCATAACATACTCTATGATTTATATTTTTATGAGATTATATTTTTCTTTTTTATTCTCTGCTGTGTGTTCTATGGTGAGTGTAAAGAACCGGAGACCCTTTTTATTGGAAACGAGGCATTCCATCTTAATCATCAGGTATGACGACGCATCTGTATGTTGATTTACTATCTAAGTCACATGTAGATATCTATAGGCCGCAGCATCCACTTATCATCAGATGGACTGTGTACTAGTTTGTTAACTACTCGTACTGTAAATAGATCAGATTGGTGGTAAAGTAGTATAAAGTGCCAGAACCGTGTATACAATACCACAACATGTTCAGGTCTATAGAACAAACAATTTATATATTTGCATGAATGTTGGATTTTTTTATTTGATTTCGATGAAGGAGGACCGCGGATTTCGAATCCTGCACGGAACAAGTGTTTGTATGGTTACAAATTGTTCGGAGTCTGGATGTTTGTCCACATGTAACTTATGCGTGTAAAACCATTACGATGCCTCCTCAAGCGTTCGTCGTGTTGCTAAAGCTCGACGCTCAATGAATATATGTATTTATTTATACCACAGAAACAAACTATTCCTGTCATTTACAATACGAGTAGTCACGCCAAGGAACTTTCTCAGAGCTCTTAAAAAAATTAATATCTTCACTGTTGCATCACAAATGATTTTGGATAATATTATATTTGTATATATTTAAGATACAACTGTCGTTCTTTTAATAAAATAAGTGATTCTCCTAACTTTAAAACATATAATAAATCTTAACTTGCTGTACTCAAGTACAGGTTTCATAAAGTTGGCGGCTAAAAATATATTAACTTTAGCCTCAGAATTTTTACAAAAATTTAATGTATGTTCTTCAAAAACAAAATTAGTTTCCCGCCGCCAATTTTCTAGCCACAGAGAGTGTCATGAGTCCAATGCTCAACTCAAGTAAATGGGGTCCCACGTTGAGCGACTTTTGGTCCCAGCCTTTAGAGTCTCCTCCCTTGAGCCACCACCCATATGAGGTCGACACACATGTTCCACCAACCAACACAACGGCAGATGTAGTCAAAAGCCAGTTAGAGACAAAGACAATAATAATAATTCGCCATCAGAAAGGGTTTAATAATAATAATAATAATCATCTTTATTCAGGCAAATTACACCCATATCCAGTAAAATCAATAAATTTAAAATCAGTCTCCTAAATTTTAGCAATAATTAAATCAATTTCAATACAAAATAACAATTTTAAAATAATAAATCCAGTCAATGTAAATAGGCAGTAATGTCAGTATATAAATAAAATAATGAAATAAAATAACATAAAATTAAAATTAATAAATAAATAACAGAATTACACACATTTATCAGTCTGGAGACGAGATCAATAATTAAAACTTTCTCTGAGGCAACTGTGCTGCAATAAATTAAATTAAAATCAATCTACACAATTAAAGCAATACAATACATAAATCAATGTCAACAAGATAACAACTTTAAAATAATAAATCCGGTCAATTTCAATAAGCATTAATGTCAGTATATAGAATAATCTAAGCAGATAAAATAAAATTAATACATAATTAACAAAAAAAAAAAAACTATAAGAACACACTTTTATTAGACAGGAGACGAGATTAATCAATACTTTCTCAGAGGCAGCTGGTCTGCGACATGCCTTTCGCAACAATGCCGGATAATATAACCGTCTAACCTTCCTGAGATCATCGCTAAGACAGTGTTGGAGCTGGCCCGCACTCTGCGCACCAGGGACGCGGCCCGCTTGCGCATGGTGGCATTGAAGCAATCGATGCGCGCATCCGCAAACATACCAGAGGCGCTACAAAACCGAGGCAACCCCATCACCGCCCTAAACGCATTATTGTATTGGACGCGGAGGACGCTGTAACTCTTCCTACTGTAATTAGCCCATAAGCTGCACGAGTAGAGCGATGTGCAGAACGCTCGGAAGAGTGTAACCTTGACCTCCTTTGAACACCGCGCAAACCTACGGGCGATCATGTTAGCTCTGACAGACAGCGCCCTCCGTTCCCGGTCCATATCAGCGTGATCCCTTAGGTCGAAGGTGAGTAAATGCCCCAGATACTGAAACTGTTTAACCCTGTCCAGGGGTACTTACACCATTCAATTTTATTTTAGGTACATTATCAGGACATTTCGCACCAGCGGCCTCAAAGATCATGTATTGACTCTTTCTGACATTATACAATAATCCGTGACCACATGCATATTCCTCGCATTTCCGTATCAGCTTCCTCAGGCCGCAGACCGATGCACTCAGCAGCACCATGTCGTCTGCATAACTCAGATTATTGACACAAACACCGTCAATGTGGCAGCCGACATGCTGACTGCTAAGCGCTACGATCAGCCCGTTGATATATAGATTGAATAGGGTTGGTGATGTTAAGCCACCTTGCCTGACTCCACACTCAAGCCGATACGGATCCGACATTACCCCCGCCCACCTGACACTATTGGCCTGGTTTGCGTACCAGTACCGGAACATGCTGATAAGTTCTTGAGGCAAGCCTATGCTTTGCAGCTTGTCCCACAGCAGGTTATATGTCACCAGGTCAAAGGCCTTGGAAAGGTCGAGGAAGCACGCGTACACAGGTGTCCTGCGATCAGTGTAGTATTTGACGGTTTGCTTTAGACACAATATGGCGCTTTCAGTGGACAAGCGAGGACGAAATCCAAACTGGTTATCGTGGAGCGTTACATGTTTATTCAACTGTGTGTTGAGCAAAAGTTTAGGTCACTGACGTTGAGTATATGCATTTTTCCATCATGTTTCACTCACCAACAAGTTGCCTTCAATCATTCGAAGGTGGGAAATTTACAGAGATATATTATTATGTTGTTATATTATAAAACACCATGGAGGTCAGACAGTCTGCAGCCTCGTAATGAAGGAACCCGACTTAGGCATAGCTATTTAGGTGTGAGTCAAACCAAGACGCAGAGAGCGCCATTGAGAATAGCAACACACCTAACAACCATTGCACAAACGCAATGCTGCAGAATGCAACAAGCATATACGACTATCGTCGGGCTTACACCATCCCAAGGTCCCTCATACAATCCCAGCAGGAAACACCACGCGCATACCTCCATCCATCAGAACCACAAGATGCATCGAATCAGGTGCAGCAGCAGGTAGCAGAAGGCATCAGTGCAACTATCACACGGATTGCGCAACCTCACAACACAGCCTCATGATACGAGTACCTATCGACTTAGGCAACAAAATTAGTACTTTTGTTAACTAATAATTTAAAATTAAAAATTTTGTACAACCGATTTCAATATAAATGATTAAGATTAACTCAAAAACAATTGGCAAGACCTTGAGCAAATTAATATGACACCACATGTGAAGCACCAGCTTTCAAATAAAAAAGAGTTATCGAAATCGGTTCACCCAGAAAAAAGTTATGAGGTAATACAGTAACTCTTAGGTTTTTGAAGTCCTCCTTCAGTTTGAAGTCGGTACTAAGACGCCATTAATCAAAAATCCACGTATAATAGCACTGTTGTACTAAGACATGGAGTTAAGTATGCTGGCTGCACTGAAAAATACTACCAACACACTTACTCTAATCCGAAAGATAGCCGACGTATAATAACGCCATGCGCTAAGACGCCGCCCACAAATGTTAGGAATGTGCGATGTCCATGGGCAAGTCGTATTGCTATAACATAATTTAAAATTAAAAATTTTGTACAGCCGACTTCAATATAAGTTATTTAAGAATAACTTAAAAACTATTGGTCTGACCTTGATCAAATTCATATGGGAACACACGAGAAGTACCAGCTTTCAAATAAAAAAAGAATCATCGAAATCGGTTCACCCAGAAAAAAGTTCTGAGGTAACACACAAAAAAAAAAAAAACGAAAAAAAAAACATACAGTCGAATTGAGTACCGGCTCCTTTTTGGAAGTCGGCAGAAAACCGCTTACCACCGGCACTAAGATGATATGCCTAGGATATATCGATTAGCGAGTCTAGGTTTACCTCGGTCTCGGACACTGTGTAGCAGTCTAAGCAACACTATAATAATACTTTTCAAGTCCCATTTCTATCGATATAATGCTTTTACATATTTGAGACCTTACACATATTTGCTTTATTTCATTACATTACATTACAGCCCTTCACAAGTCCACTGCTGAACATAGGCCTCCCCCAAGGAATGCCACAAAGCACGGTCCTGAGCAACCTGCATCCATCAACTTCCTGCATATCTTACAAGGTCGTCACTCCATCTCGTGGGGGGACGCCCAACACTTCGCCTGCCGGTACGAGGCTGCTACTCGAGAACCTTTTTCCCCATCGGTTGTCGGTTCTTCGAGCTATATGGATGGCCCATTGACACTTCAGCTTACTAATCCGTTGGGCTATGTCGGTCACTCTGGTTCTACTACGGATATCCTCAATTCTAAGTTTATCACGCAGAGAAACTCCGAGCATAGCCCTCTCCATAGCTCGCTGAGCGACCTTGAGCTTCCTCATCCGACCAGCAGTGAAGGACCACGTCTCAGTTCCATATGTCATCTCTGGCAACACGCACTGGTTGTACAGTCTCGTTTTCAATACCCGGTATACCTGACGAGAAGATGTGCCGTAATTTCCCGAACGCTGCCCAACCGAGTTGAATCCGTCGATTGACCTCTCGGTCAAATTGGACTTACCTAGTCGGACTATTTGTCCCAGGTAAACATACTCGTCAACAACTTCGAGCTTGGTGCTCCCAACAACAACCGGTATAGTTGTGACATGGACATTAAACATGATCTTTGTTTTGTCCATGTTCATCTTAAGACCTATCCGTTGGGAAACACGATTGAGGTCATTGAGCATGGTGCTTAGGTCCTCCAGCGACTCTGCCATTAGGACTATATCGTCGGCAAATCTAAGGTGAGTGATGTACTCGCCATTGATGTTAATACCGTATCCTTTCCAGTCCAGAAGCTTGAAAACGTCTTCCAATGCAGCGGTGAAGAGTTTTGGGGATATGACGTCACCCTGTCTTACACCTCTCTGCAATTGGATAGGTTTTGTACTCTGGTTCTGTACTCGGATATCCATCGTAGCCCTACTGTACAAGCACTTCAATACTTCGATATACCGACAGTCAACTTGGCACCGCTGAAGGGACTGCAGCACCACCCAAATTTCGATAAAAGGATATCGAAAGTTTCTTTACAGTATTTTTTTTTAGTTTTTTTTAATTAATTTCGTAAATTTTTGTCTTTTGATCGTTTGTTTTTTAGAAGTTTCCAATTTTAAGTTAACGAATAATAACTAAAATCTTAATTGTGCCAAATATCCATTATATTTTATATGTGGTAGAGCCATGCTGCAGCTATATTATATTATAGTTGTAGCACGAATGGGTCGGCTCGACCGGGAAAGGACCACGCTCTCACAGAATACCAGCGTAAAATAGCAGCTTAACGCTGCTGTGTTTCGTATGGTGAGTGTAGAGAACTGGAAAAGAGGCATTCTATCTTAGTCCTCACGGCTGACAATGCATCTGCATTTTAATTCGCAAACGAAAATACATGTAGATGTCTATGGGCCCCAGCAACCACTTACCATCAGGTTGACTGTATGCTCGTTTGTCACCCTTATTCTATAAAAAAAAGAAAAAAATAATTTGTTTTCAACATACTTTTTTGTGTTTCTTTATATTTGTCCATGAGTATATCCTATTTTACACTGTTTACAACAAGTTTTTCTGTAATGTTACTGATTTGCCTTTGCTTAAATTCAAGGCGCATGTATAAGCCTAATAAAGAAAATTATTTAAAATTGTATGATATAATGAAGTTTCTTATACGTTTTGACTAAAGGATTATATAATAAAGTATTATACAATATTTTATTTGTAACGGTTGGGAGAAAAATAGTCTACTTATGATTTTCTTGTAGTTTTTTTTTAACAAGGACTCCCGCACGAATAATTTTTGAAGCGATGGCGTGGCTTTTTTAACTTTCAAAAAGTTATTATTAAAGACTAATTGTGAATAAAATTAATTTGACTTGATTTGGCTCGGTTCTCACCGCCCAGAACATCGACCAACACGGCCTAAGCAGTTAGAGGTGGGTACGCACACCCCCACTCAGACATTGGTTTGATAGCTCAAAAAACCTCAAGAGAGGGGGCATGATGATTGGTAACAATACCAAAATAACAAGACCAGAACACAGCAGTGCTTGCACTGTTGTATTCTGGTGTAAAGAGTATAGAAAACCAGTATAATTTTTTTTAAACGTTACACCCACACTAGGATTTTCTCCTGTGTCGTGGAGGCAGTTTACAAACATAAATTACACAAGGACAAACATACAGACCCGGAACATCTATTTGTAGGCCATACTTGTTCCGTGGATAATTACAGGTTGTGAGGCATTTTATCTTCCTCAGAGAGTCCTCAGAGGTGACAACGCAATTGTAGCCTTCTTCGTTTGAAGTTGGCTGCAGACGTCCATGGACTGCAATAGCCACTTACAATCAGGCGGACTATAAGTTTGTTTGTCACTACACTTTAGATAATAATAAAAATAATAATAAATTGGTAAATCCAATTAGGCATGCCTTATGCGCATTAAAAAAAATACGTATAAAATGATTATACGGAACATTCGGATTCGACAGCACTATCGGCTTCAACACCCGCGAAAACCATGAAAATGACACCCATGATGAAAAACTTGGTACCTACTTCAGCCGCCATCTTAGATTTACATTTCGACAGCACTATCGGCTTCAACACCCTCGAAACCCATGAAAATGACACCCATGATGAAAAAATTTATACCTATTGCAGCCGCCACCTTAAGCGCCTTGGGGACATAATAAATCCACACCATAAGCCACTAAAACCCCTTTTTTTATTTAAAAATAGCAATTAATCGATTTAAAAAAATATTAATAAGTTCAACAATCATTTATCTTTCTAACAATGTGTCTTTTTTATTCATATGTATAATATGATTGCTAGATACGATTTTATTCGATAAAACGTTGGAATCTTAATTTTTAGGCAATAGTAGAACATACCTTGCGCTTTTGGTTAAGGCATGCAATACTAAGAAATAAAACTAAATAAATGAAGCAGCCCACCTCAGAATCTAAATATAACGAAGCGTCCAGGGTACTTGACAGTTGCGCCATGGTTGTGCAGTTCTGTAGGATTAGCGCCACGTGAGGGACGAAGCATAGTGCCAGCAACTGGATTAGGAGTTTTCGACGCCCATACCTGAAAAAACACGTAACGTTAAAACAGGATAGTAACGAAATAGATTGTTTTACGTAAAACAGCAGGTGACATTGTACAGTAATACGGTTTAAAGCAGTGAACATAACTGAAATATGGAAGTATTACTTCAAGGGAATAAAGCGCGCAATTTCATACGAACTTACACATTAATACACTAAAACAAAAATTATTTTATTACGACTCAGAACGCACAGTGTATAATGATATTACTTCCTGATGGTTTTTGGTTTTAACTGTCATATATTATATTAGTTGCTTACAACATTTATTATAAAACGCCGTTGGTAACCGTAAAGTGGCGATGTAAGTATATCCACTACCCCACATCGCCCCGTGGGTGTCGTAAGAGGCGACAGAGGGAAAATTAAACAGAAACCCGCCTGCCAAGCGTGGCAACTGTGACAACATCCCCCCATGAGGCAACCTATGAAGGAGGCCTATGTTCAGACGTGGACTTTTATAGGCTGTAATGGATAGATGTATGGATTGGTTATGCTCATCATACGTCGCTGTGTTCAACAGTGGACTAGTGAATGTCTGTAATTGTGATGATTAACATGATGTATATATGTGTATATGTTCATTTCCAGGAGTTATGGGCAACTCCTAAACAAGTCTATTTTTTTTATTGAAAAGTTATATCTAAATCATTATACTACAACTACAAAATTAAAGCATAATATACTGGTATTATCATAATATAAACTTTACGAACATGAACATGACGGTCAAAAACTATCGAACTAAAAATAATATTGAATTATTAATTTTCACTTTCAAAACCCATTTCCATCTTTTTTAGATTAAACTGTCTATATTTCACAACCCATTTTAAAATAAATATCAAAATTATTAAAATTATTTCCATATGGATCATATCAAAATAATTTGCATATGGGCGTAATATTATATTAACCAGGAGGTCGACGAAAACATGTCGGTTCCATATCATTGGCCATTTCTTATGTACCATTTTTTTAAGCATTAAAATTTTCTATCTATCGAAATTTTCTAACTATCTAACGTTTTTCGTAATAAAGAAGTATAATAAAGAAATATAACAAAGAAGTGAAATAATTTGCCTTCCCGTCCGATTACAATCCGGGCATCTTCAACGCAATAGGAAATAAAATAGGTTTTAGATACGCAAAGATTTTCCTTTTAGGGCTTGATCACCACTTACCGTCAGATGGAATTGTGATCAAGCACTAGCTTATAATAAGTAACTAAGGTATTATATGTAATAAAATACGATGCTTGCTTTTGCGATACGGTCCTTAATTGTTTTTCTCCAGGCTGGGATAGCAAGCACTACTTTGTCCAGTAGCCCGTCCAGCTTGGTGGACGGCAGACTTCTAGTGCGACGCCACAAAGAATTGGGTCCGTCTCGCAAAGGCCCCGGCTGGCTACCAAATAGGGCACCAGCATTGGGCTAAAATATTTCTCTTGCTTAGAGGCATGCGGGGAAGTCGTGGTCGATTTTTGAGAGGCGTACTCCGTGTTTCCATAATCGTTTCCTCCAATGTGCTCTTCATTTGCTCTATCGTTAGTCCAGTAGTGGAGAATGGACCTACACTTTGATTGCCGTTACAAGAACTGCCATAAAACCTTTTTCCCCATCGAGTATCTGTTCGTAGAGCTATAGGACTGGCTCATATCTGTTTATTGATCCATTGGGCAATGTCGATTTCTGTGGTTCTACTGTAAATATCTTAATCCAAAAATACTAAATATGTTCTGAAACCATCGTAATATAAATGTTAGCTGATACCCGCTCGCTTCGCTGGGCGCATGATAATATTTTATTGCAGAACCTAGGTACTATCGTGAAATCCGTTCTTGGTGAGCGTCTACATTGCTAATAGTAACTACACTAAATTTCAAGTCAATTGGGTGTATAGGTTTAGAGATATCGTGATGTATATATATATATATATAAAGCATTTTTGATCGCAATTTTTCCGTCCACCATGGATTTACTTGAAATTTTCACCGAAGGTAGGGAATAGTTCAAAGATCATTGTCTAAATCATGCTGCTATACGCTAGAGCCTTGGGGGTGGTTGCCACCCCATCTTGGGAGTGGAAATTTTTTATTACATTTTAACTATGGGAATCGACGGAAAAATTAATTCTAAGAAAAAAATGTAATATACGTTTTTTTCGTAAAACTAATATTTTTTGAGTCATTCAAAGTTGAAAGTAACAGTTTTTTGACGACAAAATTGACTTTTTAAATGGTTTTTTACGAATAACTCTAAAAATATGTATTTTATCAAAAATGTGTAGAAAACCAAAGTGTAGCTTTTAAAAAACAAAAACAATGCTTTTTTATAATTTTTCTACGACAAATACGTATGAGAGGCGGAACAAGGGTGTCAGCACAAGAGACAACTCAAGTGTACAGACATTTAGTACTTATAGCTGGTATACCATCAGGTTCACTAGCTTTATTCACGTCTAGACTTCGCAAGGTTTTAAGAACCTCCTTGTTGGTGTTACGAACCTCTGACATAGAGGTACCGCAGTGAGGTAATTGAGATGGTACGCTGTTGCTACTGTCCAGACGCGAATTGCAAGCAAAAATAGAAGCAAATAAATCCGCTTTCTCCTTAGGCGCATGCGCCAGTGAGCCATCTGGTTTTAACAGCGGAGGCAGTATAGACCGACAAAAGTTTGTTTCGACCGCTTTGGCAAGAGACTAAAAAGCTCTACTGCCAGATGGTTTGACAGAGAGCTATGCGTTTAATGCGGTCGAAACTGGCTTGGCATAATGTCTTTTTGCAGGACTTGACTATTTGGTTAAAGACTCTCTTCTTAAGGCTAACATCCGGAGCTTTGCGGTCTCGATGTTTAAACTATGAGATTAGTTTTCTTGTTTACTTATTTTCATTGTACTATATCGTATGAAATTTTGCTATGAGGAATATTGAAACAATATATTACGACCGATATTGAAACAATATTTATTTTTCAACAGAAAGAAGACCATGAGAGGAGTTTTTAACTTAAAATAGAAAGTAAAGTGTAAAAAGTGTCTCAGACAAAAGTTTATAGATAAGGTAAAGTTAAAATCTTATACGTTCTACTGCTTTACACGAGCTTCTCTAATTTCTAAGAAGGTTTCGAGGCAAAAGTGGATAGCATAATATATTAAATATGGCCACTATGTTTATGACACATTAATGTGTATACCACAAACCATAAGTTGTTATTTGCTTGCAATAGTTTAGGACCAAAAGAAACCTAGGGATTAATAAAACCTTGTTACGCCATTTACTACCGCTCTGTTATTTAATTACTTTGGTAATTATTAAGATTTTACAAAAAAATCCAGTAAATATTCAATAGATTTTTCCCAGTTATAACTTCTTAAAATGTAAGGAAGGAATGTAATAAAAAAGGACACCCACAAATAACAACAGATACCGTCAACGTTAATATTGAAAGAAAAGGCAAGAAATTATCTACTCTAACAATCTTTACAGTAATTTTCCAATAAAAATACAGTTGTCTTATTCAACTTGTGTTTCAAACTTGTTTAAATGAATTTACATGGAACTTGAAGGGTTAATAATTACTTTATATATATTTACAAGATTTATTATTTACGATTTTTTATCTAGTGGTCCCATCATTAATCTAAAATTTATATTGATAAATAACCATTTCAAATTTAAAATTCTTATACTTTGCATGTCACAAAAGAAAACTCTGGGATTGTTTTTATAAACCATCGTTTGAAAATAGAAATTTTAAAATGGTATAACCCAGGCGTCCGGAAAGGATGTACTCGTGTAGTTGAGTTTTCTAGAAAATTTGCATAGTTTGAACAAAAATGTGATTCTCATTTCCGTCAAAAATATAAAGATGTCTAGGATTGTCTATAATAATTGTTGTCATATTGTGATGATTTTTATATTTCACCGATTCAAATTTTCCTAATTACGCACAAATAATTATAATGATTCGTAGTTCATTTTTTGCATCTGTACTATTTGAAAAAATAAATATAAGATAGAAAATGTGAATAAAATATTGCTATTTTTCGAACGATGACTTTCATATGATATAGCTCGAAAAACAGCAGGATTGAATGGAATGTTCTTAAACTTTCCTTACGCTGGTCTATGATTTACAGAAGAACTTTCCTAGGTATTTTATGAAAAGAGTATCCTAAAAGAAGCAAGATTTTTTTTAATACAGTTTATATTTGCTTTTTTGTGTACACTCGTATGATCCCATTTACCATTAGCACTGAATAAATAATCGTTCTATGGACCAACTGCAACTTTCGAAAACTGCATGCAAATAAACGTGCAAATAATTTCCACTCAATTTAATAGTCTATGCAGTCGAGACTAAATGTTCGATATAGGATATTTTAAAACTAACTTCATAAAGAGAGAGTAAAACAGTTTAAATATTTAGGTCACTACATTACTGAAAATTGTAAAGATGATATGGATATCGAGAGGGAGCGAAGGGCACTGTCAGTCCGTGGAAATATGTTGATTCGTAGGTTTGCACGGTGTAGCAACGAAGTCAAGATTGCACTTTTTAAGACCTACTGCCAATCTTTTTACGCGTGCAGCTTATGGACAGCATATACAAAGCGCGCTTACAGTGACCTTCGTGTTCTATATAATAACATTTTCAGAGCCCTGTTGGGGCTGCCTCGCTTTTGTAGCGCAACAGGTATGTTCGCAGAAGCAAGAACAGATGACTTCTTTGCAATAATGTGTAAACGAGTATACTCCCTGTTGATTAGAATGCGTAGCAGCCGCAACGGTATTCTGAACATGTTCGCCGAACGATGTGACGGGCATATGCTAAGTCACTGGAATAGTATATTAAAAAGTAATTTTACATATTTAAGAAACTAACATTAGTATTTAAAGTGTAAAAATGTATTACTAACAAATTATGGATCAAGGTCTGAAATAAAGGAATTATTATTATTATTATTATTATTATAAACTATTAAACGACGTGGAAATCATTTTAGAAGGGAAAACTTCTATATAATCGTTGTGTTTTGAAACTCGATGAAGCAAATAAGCGATACTAAAAAGAAACGAACATATACATCTTTACGATTTAGCCTGAATGAGATAAAATACGGTACGTAGCGTTTTCTATTGTTTGGAGATTATGCATGTGATCTGTAAGCAATAAGGATTAAGAATATCCATATGAGAATATCACTCTTTTTGAAGTGAAAACTTCTTTAGAAACGTTATGACTTGAAACTCGACGCAACGAATAAGCGACACTAAAAAGAGACAAACATATACATTTATACGATTTAGCCTGCGGGAGAATGAGATAGAATACGTTACGCAGCGTTTTCTATTATGTTTGGAGATTATGCATGTGACCTGTGAGCAATAAGGGTTAAGATTATTACTCTTTTTTAAGTGAAAACTTTTTTGGAATCGTTATGATTTGAAACTCGATGCAACGAATAAGCGGCACTAAAAAGAGACAAACATATACATATCTATACGATTTAGCCTGCGGGAGAATGAGATAGAATAAAGTATACAGTGTTTCCTATTATCTCGGTTTCCTTTTCTGAAGGTTCTAATCTACCGCGTGTGAACTGCCTGTTGTTTTTGCCATATGATATGGGGACTAGACCATAGTTAACGTTGGGAGTAAAAAACATGCATGAGTGTCGTGGAACACTCGTTTGGAAGGAAGATCCTTTCGTAGTATATTATTATTATTGATAAACGATGATATTATTAATTAACAAATACATATAAATTAATTACTAACGTCTATTAAAATGAAGCGTCATTTAAAATAAAATAATATTTATGTCATGCGAAGATAACAAAAAGTGCGAGGGAGATGGATTTTATTCCATCTCGCTCGCACTATAGAAAGGATCGTGACGGATAAATCTTACACTTTTTCTCGTCTAGCCCCAATCCGCCAAACTAGTACCGTATCCGTAAAAGTAGTTTTATTAAATATGTAGTATTTGCGTAAATATAACGAAGAAACCAAATTTTTTATAATAAAACAACTTCTATATATAAGTTGCAAGGCCGTATTTTAGCAAATGCTAACGAATAACGTATGCGCTGATATTTCATTTTATAACAACATTACATATTATCTGAGCGTACTCGCCGAGATCTCATTTCGCAGTACAGTTCAAATGAAAAGGTCAATGTCAATTAAGTAAAAAGCTTTCTCAATACGAATATTGGAGTGACAGATAATTCTATATTTATGTATCATCTTTATTATAATACAATTCTTCTGCACGTGAGATGTCACTGAACTCCTCCTAAACGGTTGGACCGATTATGATGATTTTTTTTGTGTATTTGAGTGGGTCCCTGGATGGATTAAGACAATTGCACCTGGTAGGTACAATTACCTTAAGCCTTCAGCAAGCATATATATATATATATATATATATATATATATATATATATATATATATATATATATATATATATATATATATATATATATATGCGTCACAAGCAAAAAAAGGCAGCGTCAGCTAATTTCGCAATAAAGACGATACACTGGCTATGTGTTACGAACCATTTCGAGTTAATTTTCCCTCCTAACACCAAAACTATTAGATCTATATATTATACTTAATTTTCTGCGTACCTAACAAGGCCCATGTGAATACATATTTCATGAGGAACCTTTAACAATTCTTGAGTTATTAAGGTCTGAAATGCGCCATTTTTATCGCTCACTGAACCAACTCGTCAAAAACCTAAGCCACTTCTAGGTTTGTGACATCAAGGTAGATCGTTGGGCATATAAGAAGAGAAAATTCAAAATAGAAATTATCGACATTCGGTGTAGTCAAAGACATTTAATTCATAAGGTTTAAATTAAAAAAATAACCGACCAAGAAAGAGCCCCTTTTACTTTTTAATTTATTATCATTTTTATTTATGTGAAAATTTCAACTATCTACCTATTACGGATCATGATACAGCCCGCTCACAGATAGACGGACGGACGGACGGACGGACATCAGTGACTTAGTAATAGGGTCCCGTCGGTTAGTTACCCTTCGGGTACGAAACCCTTAAAAACAGTGAAGCGTAAACAAAAGAAAAATAATTTCAGGTTGTGTACTATTTTATTTAAGTAGATTAATATATAACTGGTAATATACTCTAGAAAAACCTTTTTTTTTTTAAATAATTAGAACTCTTCAAAACATAAATGTTGGGCCAAGTTCTGTACAAATGATATTTTGACGTGATCAAAATGCTTTAATTTAATAAAAGAAAGACACCAGGACGGTGCTACTTAAGAATGAGGTAAAATATTTGACAGACTATATGGTGGGAAAATTAATTTATTAGTGAAGTTTATGGGAATTTTTTTCCTTCGGAAGTGTTAGTTATATTTTAAACTAGCTGTTCCCCGCGACTTCGCCCGCGCTTAATTCATTACGATTGGATTTCATGGATTTTAATATTTTGCGCGGAACCCTAATTATTTTTCTAAAATAAAAGTAGCTTAAGTTACTTCCTATAACATCAGCTATCTGCCGGTGAAAGTCCAGTCAAAATCGGTTTAGCCGTTTCGGAGATTAGCCGGAACAAACAGACAGACAGACAGATAAAAATTTTATAAATCGTGTTTTTGTTAAAAGTATATATCGTATATACTTTCATAAAAAGCTATTATTTCGACATTACAAACAGATACTTTAATTTTATTTATTTGTATAGGTGTATAGATTAAATAAATAAATAATTGATAAACTAAATTAAAGACATTCATAAAGCAAAAAAATTTAAAAGTGACTTAAAAATGTGTAAGTAAATAAAAAAGCAAACCACTGAGACATTGAGGCATTGTGGTATTATGTGTAAAATAACATTTTGAGGAGTGCAAAGAATATTGGAGAGAAAACTTTTCCTTTTTAGTAAAGTTGACAGGAGCTAAAAAATTAAAAATGTTATTTTAGTAGTAGACAGAAGAAAAAAGAAACGAAAAGAAATTTTGTACGTGGTAGAGCCATGCTGCAGCTATAATAGTAGTATAGTTGTAGCGCGAATGGTTCGGCTCGACCGGGGAAGGACCACGCTCTCACAGAATACCAGCGTCAAATAGCAGCTTAACACTGCTGTGTTTCGTGTGGTGAGTGTAGAGAACCGGAGATCCTTTTTACTGGAAAAGAGGCATTCCATCTTAGTCCTAACGGGTGACAACGCATCTGCATTTTGATTCGCAAACGAGGATAAATGTAGATGTCTATGGGCCACAGCAACCACTTACCAACAAGTGGACTGTGTGCTCGTTTGTCACCCTATCTTATATAAAAAAAGATTATTTATTGACGAAGGCGGTTTGGGAGCCACTTGAGCTTAGTGTGATATTCTAAGACATGGTCATATTTACGAAGTCCAAATATGAGCTGATTTTGATTTTGATTTTGTAATCGTTCAAGTTGGCAACACAGTGGCAGCACTGTCGAGATCGGAATCATACCTTTAAGCATGTTCACTAAATGCAGATTTTTCAATTACGTTAGTGTTTGAACTATGAGTTCTTTTAAAAACAACGAGTGAATTTACAGCCCACCCGATGGTAGTAACTACTGCAACCAACTACTGAAACTAAGAAAACGAAGAAGTCTACAGATGCTATTGATATGACTATACTAACTCTCTGCACCCCCCAAATCAGAACTCAGAACTGCTATTTGGTGGCAGAAATAGGCAAGAAGATGGTACCTACTCAGACAAATAGTCCAGTACAGTTATTGATATTTTGTAAAGTAAAAGAGATTATGAAAAATCTTACTTAGAACTAGGGTTGATGTGTAGACAGCCAACTTTCACCGACACCATTCGATGAGCGTTCTTTTCAGACGGTGTGGTGCATTGCGGTGAAGAGCCGTCGACCTTTAGAGAGAACGGCGCCATCCTGCCAAAAGAAGAATGCATATATATAATGTGAAATATTAGTATACCGACTGACGTATTATCAGCTTTGCGTGCTATATCGTATAATGTCATTATCAATGAGTCACAGGAAACACAGAATAGCAGCATAACTCTGCTGTGTTTTAGTATAGCAAATGACAAGAACCAAAGATCCTTTTTATTGGTAATGAGGCGTTCCATCTCTGTCCTCTGAGTGATAATGTATGTTGATTCTTAATAGATGATAGATGTTAGGGTCTTTGTGTCTTAGCATCTACACTTGCCATCATATGGCCTGAGTGCTCCTTTGTCACTCTGACTTCTGTATTAAAAAACATTAAAGAAATAAATACAGCTGAAACGTGACTCTACTACGTTAAAAAAGTTGTGATACAAACAACATCAACCTAGTAGTTAAGGCTACTAACAGCAGCCGTGGATGCGAATCCACTAACCGCCAATCGACTACTATTGTGAAATACTTCTAACATACGAAAATTACAGCCTATACAGGATTATTTTTCAAAGAGTAGCCAAATTGTAAACTTAAGTTCAAATAAATAAATAACGATATACCGTTGATGCACTTTTTGTTGATACACAAATGAACGTGATTTATGGGCAACAACGTTTTTGCCTACCGATCGACCCGTTACGAATGTGTGCGTGCGCAGTAAAATCAGTTAATAATGCATTACCACGCATTTTGAATTTAAAATATAAAAAGTACAGAATGTTTCACGTTTTTTTAATTAAATTTACTTCATCATTTGTCTATATTACTTATTCTGAACATTTCTTACGAGGCTTTACTTCACCACTGAGCATGTTGCAAATATCAAAAGTAGTATTTTTAAAACCTTTTCGGCCTTAAAATATTTACCGACTTTACAAGAGACCAAAAGAATTAAAATGGGTGATGAAATTTGTTAATTCAATAACAAACCATGTAATAAGTGACACAGTATATTATTATTTGGACATTTTCGTAAAATTACAAATATTTTGAAAGTAAAAAAAATTATAATGCAAATAGTAGTGGTAAGTAATTAATATTGAGTCCTGGTTACTTGCAAATTGAATAAATAAATAGTCCGTTTCAAAGGATTTAGCAAGACATGATTTCTTGCTGATTGACAGGAAATTACTTTATAAAAATCTTTAGAAGTATGATAAGAATTCCAGTAGCAAAAACACTTCTAGCTGAGTTTACTTTATATCAAAATAAAAAACCAAGTGTTAACGATGCGTCTGGAATCGAAAGAAGATTTAATAGGTTTTTTATCTTGAATATAAACATAATATAGTCCGTGATCCGACCGCACGATTAATATATCATCTGTTTTAATGAAAATTATTTTTTTATGAACAATGATCAAAAGTTTAAATAAATTGGATTGCATTTTTATCTAGATGCATAGTAAATTAGTTTTTTTTTAATTAAAATTTATTCAATGATCATTTGGTAAACATTTTCATTCACTCTAGAAAAAAAATATCAATAACAAAGGCAAATTGTAAACTCTCACGGGAGGAGTAGACAAAAATTACGGACTTCCATTTGCCACAAACCTGACACATCTCTTTTGTTTTTTTTTTCTAGCTATTTTATATACACATACATGCTCTTCAATTAATGGTACTCTTATCTTGGCCCATTCTCTATATAAAACAAATTTTGTCAAAAACTTTCATGCAAGTCGTCCCTTGCTAATTTTGCCACTCATTTCACCAAGCTTAGTCAAGCACTGGCTTATAATAAGTAAAAAAAAAAAATGCTTTTATTTATTTTTTCCAAAGTTAATTGTGTCCAAATTACTGGACATAAACTAATCTGTGCTACACCAATAGTAACGCATATCTTCGTGAGAGCTCTGCGCATCTGTAAAAATAAAAGGACATTCAGTATCATTTAAAGGTATTGTTCTTTATAATTGTTAAAACCATTTTAAAAGATAAATTGTCGAGAATACAGAAAATAGTTTAATTTGTACCTTTTCCTAAAATGATATATATTGTTATATTAGTTATATATAGCCCAAATCATTGAGTCTTACAAAAAATAGTGTAAAGATTATTATTTAAATATGTGTTCTACTTAATATATTTGTCATATCTACTTTTCTTGATAACATTTATGTATATGATATATAGTTATAATGTATTACAAAAATATTTATAAATATGTATGTATTCTATGTATGTATATGTAGGTATATGTGTAGATGTATGTGTGTATGTATATATGTTTATGTGTATATGTATATATAATATTATGTATTTCATTATTGCATTGTCTTATAGACTATATATACCTTGTACTATTAATATATACTTGTTTATCTACTATTTATGCACACTTCTATATATTTAAATGAAAATTATCTCCTTCACCAAGGTTTGCCAGGAAGAGATCGCTGTTTAGCGATAAGGCCACCTAATTGTACATTCATTTATAAATTTAAGTTTGCTGTGTTCTGTAGTATTTTGTGTGCAATAAAGAGTATATATAAATAAATATAGTATGAAAAATGTTAGTGCGTATCCCCGCCGCAGCGCTAAAATCCTTACGTGAGAAACACGAGTTGGTTTTCCGCAAGCACCACTAAAATTAAATAGCAATTCTCGGTGATGATTTACTACGTGTTCGGTAGCGAAGTAAAATGAAACCAGCATTTCTGGGAAATTGAAAAAGTAAAAGTATATTGCGAAGACATGAGAAATCTGTAACACGCATTGCGATTCCCTAGCACAGTGGACTTTAAAATGTTTATTATTAAAATAATTAATAATAAAGTGATTTTTGAGGCACGAGGTTGAAACACCACAAACTTCCTCACTCTAGGCTGCCGCTCAGAATCTCATGACAGCAAAACTTAATAACTAATTTCGACCCGACTCGAGATTTGAACTATGTACCACATGATCAATAGTTACGCTTACGACCACTAAACCAACGACGGGTCACGCCATTAAGAAAATTATAATTTTTTTATAGGATAGGGTGACAAACGAGCACACAGTCCACCTGATGGTAAGTGGTTGCTGTGGCCCATAGACATCTACATCTATTTTTGATTACGAATCAAAATACAGATGTCACCCGTGAGGACTAAGATGGAATGCTTTTTTCCAATAAAAAGGGTCTCCGGTTCTCTACACTCATCATATGAAACGCAGCAGCGTTAAGCTGCTATTTTTCGCTGGTATTCTGTGAGAGCGTGGTCCTTCGCCGGTCGAGCCGAGCCATTCGTCCTACAACCATAAAATAGCTGCAGCATGGCTCTACCACGTAAATATTATGTCAATCGCACATTTTATAAATTTAAACCCATAGAAGCTATATGGAATATGTTACACTTGAGTAATGCATTTGATTGAACCCACCGAAGTCAATATAGCACACACGATATTGGGTTGTGACTGAATAAAAACGCAGATTTAATAAATCGGTTATTAATTATTAAATTCCACTGCTGAACATAAGCCTCCCAAATAGATTGCCTCATAGGGTTGATATCTGCCATAGTTGCCACGCTTGGCAAGCGGGTTGTTGTTACGAGACCTACGGGGTTATATGGGACAGTAGATATTCTTACACCGCCATTACTCGATTCACATTGATCAATATACAACAGATACGCCTGCGGACTATAAATGACTGCCGCCCTAGAATTACGTGACGTGTGAGCAAAACAAAGCGTTCAAATTGACAAATTGCAATTTTTTTATGAAAATATTGTAATTTATAAATTTTCATATAACACTATATAATTATTGTTATGTATTAGGTCCTTACATATGAAATTAGCGTTTTGTCGTACTGACCACTTTGATCTGAAATATCTCCTCTTTGGTTAAGAATTCCAAATTCACATTTATAAATTCATTTAGCTGGTACATTTGAGTTTTGAAAACAGTCATTCATTTGTTTTTTCCTCATTATTTTTTTCTTTGGCGTCGCTTATAACCGCACAATGGAAAACATGAAATATCGATACATTTACGAGTACGAGTTCTACCGTGGCACCAGTGCTGCAGAAACAGCTCGAAGGATTAATGATGTGTACGGCGCTGGTGTCGCAAAAGAAAGCACGGTACGTTTTTGGTTTTAACGTTTTCGTTCTGGAAATATCGACCTTCAGAACCAACCCTGTGGACGGCCGGAGGCCAAACTGGAAAATGAAGAATTAAAGGCTATTGTGGAAGCGGATCCATCACAAAGCACTTCAGAGATAACTGCAGGCTTCGGGATAAGTGATAAAACTGTATTAATCCTCTTGAAGCAAATCGGGAAAGTAAAAAAACTTGAACGATGGATACCTCATGAATTGAGTGAATCGCACTTGGAAACACGCGTCGACTGCTGTGTTACTTTGCTTAAACGACACAATAATGAAGGGATTTTAAATCGAATCATTACTTGTGATGAAAAGTGGACACTGTACGATAATGGGAAGCTTTTGTCACAATGGCTGAACCCTGGAGACCCAGCCAAGTCCTGCCCTAAATGAAAATGGAATCAGAAAAATTTACTTGTGTTTGGTGGACTAGCGCCGGTGTCGTTCACTACAGCTTTCTAAAATCTGGCCAAACGATTACGGCAGATATCTAATGTCAGCAAATGCAAACCATGAAGGAAGGACTAGCTGCTAAAAAACCGAGATTGGTCAATCGCTCTAGGCCACTGCTGCTTCATGACAACGCAAGACCACACACTGCACAACAAACAACAGTGGTTGTTTGTTAGTGAAGTTAACTTAGTGAAGTTAGATGAGCTACAATTGGAATGTCTGCGACATCCACCGTACTGCCCGGACCTTGCTCCAACAGATTACCATTTTTTCCGGAATTTGGACAACTTCTTAGAAGGAAAAAAATTCAACTCCGATGCGGCAGTCCAAACCGCTTTCAAAGAGTTTATTGATTCTCGCCCCCATAGTTTTTTTTAGTAAAGGGATCAATGAACTAACTACCTATGAGATGGCAAAAGTGCATAC